CCGGACCTGCCTTGGCAAAAACTTGCTGCCGACCTGTGCAAATACAAAGGTCGTCACTATTTAGTCATGATAGACAACTTCTCCCGATGGCTCGAAATCTTGGATTTGCCAAAGACTAACTCAGACACCATCATACGGAAACTGGGAGGCATCTTCACACGTTTTGGAATGCCAGAGGAGCTCATGACTGATAACGGCCCTCAGTTTTCAGCAGAACAGTTTAGATGCTTTGCAGCTAAGTGTGACTTCCGACATATCACTTTCAGCCCCCATTTCCCACAATCCAACGGCATGGCCGAACGAGCCATAAAGACAGCAAAGTGGATCCTGAAACAAGATGACCCCGACCTAGCTTTACTGAGTTATCGCTCAACACCAACAGAGCCAACGAAGGAAAGCCCTGCCAGGCTGTTGATGGGTCAAGAAATCCGCACGACTCTTCCAGTACTAAAAGAGAGTTTGCTGCCGAAGTGGCCTGATCTTGAAACTGTTAAAATGAATGATGCAAAAGCAAAGCGGTGCTACGAGAAATACTACAACCGCAGATACTCCACCAAAACTCTTCCCACACTGTCTGTAGGTGAAAGAGTTAGAATAAAGACTGATGAGGAAAAAGTTTGGACGACCACAGCGACGGTGCAGCGCCAGGAGGCCACACCGCGCTCCTTCACCCTGGAGACTGGGTGTGGCGGTACGCCCAGGAGGAATCGGCGCCATATCCGCCTGGGGGATCAGGAACTGATCTTTCCCCTAGAGATGGACATTTCTCAGCCAAATGATCCAAATGAGCAGTGTGGGCCAGTAGGGCAGTACTCTAGTGCTACCAGGAGTAATGTTCCTGCCGGACCTCCTGGTTCCCCCCAAACCCAGAGTAAAGTTGTCACCAGGTCTGGGAGGACTGTTAAACCAAACCCTAGGTATGTTAGCTAGTAGAGATGAGGGACTTCACAAGGGCAGAATAATCCCTGTCCCATCTCTAGGGATTGTGGTAGTCTACCCACACCCTTAGCCAGTTACGGTTGTGTTTAGTTTTATATATATATTTTAGTTATTCTACTGCGCATGTGCGTTAGGCAGACCCCCGGGGTTTCTAGACAGAAAGAAGCAAGGCACTTGCTGTCTCCTGTTGTTGTGCCCAATAAAGAGTGTTCCATCGTTAACCGACCTGACTGTCGGAGTGATTTGCTGCCATAGATAAACGTCACACAGGGAAGGCTGGACAGGGGAGAAGGAGAGAAGGTGGGTGGACATCATGAGCTGGGGGGAGGAGAGATAATGGGAGAGAAAGGAGGAGGTGAGATGAGAGGTGGAGGGAGGGAGTGGAGGATCTGTTTCTGGGACGGCCGAGGCAGTGAAATGCTGCAGTGAAGCCTTACAGCTGAGCTGGTCTGAACACAGCTACTGCAAGACACCGAGCTCTCAACCCCTTCCTTCCTTCATACCTCCATCCTCTCAAACCCAGCACTTTGACTCCCTGCCTTGATTAACCTTAGTCTCACCTGCTCTATCCTCTCTCCTTCCTCCTTTCCCTCTCCCTTTCTCTCTCTCTCTCTGCATTACACCACCTTGGCATGGGAGATTTCAGAATGCATCCTGGGTAAAGGAGGACGTGGGGTGGGCCTCTCTCTGCCTCTTCTTTCATTTGTACCTCCATTTTTTCCTTCATATGAGCAGGTCAATCTGTCTTTACTTGTTTCTCCAGGGCCCGTTCTTTTTTCTTTGCGTTTTAACCTTGTTTTAGTTGCTTTTTAAATGTTTTTGCCTGTTTGTAACTCTGTTCTTTTCTCTGTTCTTGTCTTGTCCTTGCGTCCATTACCTCTTTCTCTTTTTTTTTTTTTTACCTCTCTTTTGACCCTGCGGTTTGTGATTCTTTTTTTTATGTCTATCTATCCATCCATTTGTCAGTGGCAAACAGGGACCATCAAAAGGTGAGTCCTGTCTAAAGTTAAGAACTGGTCTGCAGTGTGTAGCAATTCAGACACACACACTCATCACATGTGCTTTGGAAGTTGTAAATACCAGACTTCAGTGCTGATATGTGATGAAACCTGTGCTTAACATGCAGTCCTCCTTTTGCTGGAGACTTTGTGTCGGAGGCTTGCAGCCTTACATTGTATGTTGTGGAGCAGCCTTATATGGTCTCGTGATTTGGAGTTTGATATTAAGAGGGTGGTTTGAAACGATTTGATTTGTTAGATGTGCAAGACTTGGCTTAGTCTGAAAAAGTTTTAACTGCAAAACAATTGTAAGGTCTGTGGTGTGTGTGTGTGTGTGTGTGTGTGTAAATACATGTATTTATTTGGCCTGCTCTTCATATTCTGTTACTTACCGTTTCTTGATTACAATTTTTAGTGGAGTGAAAACTATGCACTTGATAGCTGTAGTATATTGATTTAAGAAAATGCTTAATTCCAACTATTGCAAATAAAAATCTCACTTTGTTTCATCAGCATTCTCTATAATGGTCTGTCATAAAAAGAGCCCTCATCATTCATGTGAATGAAGCCACTAGGCTGGCATGGTAGCAATGCAAAGGCTTAAAAATGTGCACCCCCCCCCAAAAAAAACCCACAAGATCTTCCTGAAAAAAGTTGCATCAGGCCCCAGTGTTAATGTGACATGTCACTCCCTCATCTGAATTGTTTTGACTTGAGTAATCAAATATCTGCAAGCTTGCAAATTGCTTTGTATCATGAACATCGTGTTTCTAATGTTTACCTTGTAATTGTCCAAATATTAGATGAAATGCCAGTCACCTCTGTAAAAATTAGAGTTGTAAAAACCTATTTAATAGAACATGAACTCCCTTATGCTGCTTCGGTGTCTGATAAGCCTTCAGGCTAATCGATTACTCCAAATGCCTCCCTTGAGTGATATTTCATTATCTCATTGGTATTAAAACAGCACTTCCCTGCTAACACAGTCATTGCATTGTTGCAATGCTGCGCTATTTTTGGTCTGGGTTTAGGTTCAGAGCCAAAATAAACCCTGCTTGTCTGCAAATGCTGAAAATACATATTCTACATTCACCAATCACCTGTGACTAAGGATTAGCTCCATGTTGTACTCCCTGATGAGATCAGAGTACAGCTTGGCTTAATGCAGTCTGGTTGCTGCTCACATACATAATACATACAATATCTGAGGTGTCCAAGTGTAAAGATAAAGCACATATTATTTACATACTTTTGTGCAGTCAAAACTCTGATATTCAGTGACACACTGCCTTATAGCATTCTGTCACAGTAAGGCAAAATATATAGTGCTGCTACTGTCAAGGAACACAGACAGAAGGAACCATAGGGCATTTTCTTACACTGGATATAGGAGGTGAAATGTATCAGGAGGCTGTAATAAAGTAAGGTGGCACAGTTGTGTAGTTGTCACCTCATAGCAAGAAGGCTTGGACTTTGCACAGCTCCTTTGTTTTTTCCCCTCAGCCTAATACATGCTACTTACAATGACAAAAAGTAAAGTAAACTATTTGACATTACCTGGTTTTCTACATAAATTACTCATAAAATATGATTTGATCTGAATCTAAACAATGTGCTCAAGCCCATGCCACAAACAGTTCTAATATTTTATGCCTTTACTGAACCCAGCTTAAACATTCAAAGTGCTGGTGGAAAAAGTATGTGAACCCATAGATTCAATAAGTGGTTGAAGCTCCTTTGGCACCAATAACCTCAAATAAAAGCTTCCTGTAGGTGTGGATCAGATTTTCATAATTTTCAGGAGGAATTTTGGACCATTCTTTCTCACAGAGCTGCTTCAGCTCAGCCATATTCCTACAGGATGTCTAGTGTGAACTGTGAAGGTCATTCCACAGCATCTGTTGGGTCAAGGTCTGGGCTCTGACTGGGACTCCAAATGGCAGATATTTTATTTATAAATCTTTTTTGAAGCCATCTTGTAATAGATTTACGTTAATATTTAGAGTCACTGTTCTGCTGCCCACTACTGAGCCTCAGCTGGCAAACAGTCACCCTGACATTAACCTGACTCCATGATGGCAAGCTGTCCAGGCCTAGTGGCAGCAATGTAGCCCCAAATCACGATGCTCCTTTCATTGTCCTTTACTGCTGGGATCATATTTTCATGTTGGCATGGAACATGATAGCAACATCGTAAAAAAAAAAAAAAAACCTGCAGTGCACCTAACATTTGCCAAAGAGCACCTTGACACTTCACATCACTGCTGGGAAAATGTTTTGTGGACTGATGAAACTAAGGTTGAATTGTTTGGGAAGAATAAGTGCAATTAATACCAACATGAAAACATAATCTGAACTGTAAAGTACTGGCCTGGACAGTTTACCATCTTGGAAAGGAAATTGAATTCCCGCGTGTATCAACATATCTTATAGGATAATGTCAGGGTGGCTGTCTGCAAGCTGAAGTAACAGGACAGTGACCCTCAAGATGGAAATAAATCTATTACAGAATGGCTTCAAAACATGAAAATCTGCCATTTGGCCCAGTCAGACCTTGACCCAGTAGAAATGCTGTGAAATAAGCTCAGAGAGCAATTCACAGCAGACAACCTGGGAATACTGTATGTCTGAGCTAAAGTACTGTAGATCTAGGATGAAGAATGGTCCAAAATTCCTCCTAAACATTATGCAGGTCTCATCCACAGATACTGTTTGAGCTTAATGCTGCCAAAGGAGCTTCAGCCATTTATTAAACCCAATGATTAACTTACTTTTTCTACCAGCACTTCATTGAACCCAGCCATTAGATATTTAAAGACACAAAAATTTATACTTATTTGTGTACATTGTGTGACCAAATCATGTAGAAGTCAGAACATTACAAATGGTTCACTTTACTTATTCTTGCCACTGTAGATATTTGAGCACACTAAATTGCCTGTCATGTATGGTTGTCTGTCTAAATATGCATTGGTATTCCCTGCTTCTTGACCAATCTGAGCTGCAATATCAGACAGTTATAGCGAATTATAGATGGGTACAAAAGAAAGTACAAAAATGCAATATTTTCCTAAATCATCTTTATTTAAAATACATAATATAATGACAGCTGCTTGTTCAGAGGCAGCACAGTGCAAGCGTTAGTTTGGTGTCCACTAATGTTTAAAGTAATACAAGAGCAACCATTTAGGGCAAATTCATAGTGGGAAACAGTGATGCACAATGATATATGGCCAGTACTTGAATTATCATTTTTGTTTCTGATTGAGAAATGCAGTATATAAAATATATACTTCATATTACCACTGAAACTTTTCTTGCAAAAACTGCCTTAAATTTGCCCCAAATGTTAACCTGTAAATTCCAACCACACAAACCATACAAACTTAAACATGCATGATTACACACAGACAGCAGTGTCCTAGGAAATATGACAAAATTAGACTTCCCTAAACAAACAACAGATTTGCATTTCTAAGGATTTTGTCAAATATTTGAATACAACAATAAATCACCACTTCATTATTGTATTTTATAGTATGATTGTGAAGTTATTTTAGCTTTATTGATCATCACAGGTGAACACATAATTGTGAATATTATTTTATTAAAATGACAAAGATGTGTTTTTGATATTTTAGGAAACTGCACAATACTCCACCTATGATGTTTGAAAACATAAATTATAGATTTTTTTAAACAAAAAACATTTAAAAAAATATCTAATTGAGTAATGGGTCTAAACACAAACCTATACACAGGCTTTTTTTTAACCACACTCCAAGAGCTGGATCACACAGGTAACCAGCTTGAGACATCACAGGTATCATAGAGACGTCACCATTTTTGACACAACCGGCCTGTTATCACAACATAGTTTAAACATCATAGGACATTTAGAGATTAACAAAACTTCCATGCTGTAACATGTAAAATGGACACAAAACAGTGATCAAGTATCTATATGTTTCTTTTTTTTTTTTTTTTACATTCAAGGTGCATCAACCAAATAAATGCATTACTGATACATTTCTCATTTAGCCATACAATACCCATGCCATGTTTCTGTTACCACCACCACATATCCCAGTGTACCATCTTGCTAAAGTTAGATATGTTACTTCATTTATTTTCACATGCAAACGACTATGATAATATTATGTGACAGTGTATTTATTTGCAAAACGGTATATACAGCTTTAAACACCACTTCTGAGGTAAAGACTTTACTTTGGAGACAGAGCTAGGATAGAAGTTTTAAAATTATTCTGTTAGTCTGCTTTAAAATACACATTAAAACATGTCTGTTTTATAAAATGGTTCCTGCTGGATGTGGAATTGGAATTAGAGTAAAAATATGGAAGCTTTTTTCCATGATATGATGATATATTATTCATAATAGTAAAACATGAATGGTACATAGCATGAAAGAGTGAAAGCTTAAACATGCTTGACTAACAGAATAAAGATTTTATTATGCGCTGCAGCTTGCTTCATTGGCCAAAATAAAAAATTCTACCTGTTGTGGTGGATAACTGCGTTTGGTAGTTATACACTAACCAAACCAAAGTTTAGTGAGTAAACTTTTCTGTCAGTCTAAACCTAATTGTATTTTTTTCATTTAGATCATTTGGTATTGTTTCCTAATTTAACATCTTTATTGGGACTCAATCTGTGTGTGAAATGGTATGGTATGATAACTGTTGTCTGTGTGTAGGTGTCTGTTTAGGTAAACTCTATTATAAATGTTAACAAGGGTTGTGAAAAGCATGACTTATGTGATTGGGGGTGCACATTGAGTCTTCTTTCATACTACATCAGTGACTTAAGCGACTTGTCCGCAACTATGCGGAGGCATCTGTGTACCTACGCAGCGAAGGGGTTTACAGGTAAACGTAGGTTGCTGATGGTTGCAGACGGTTCAATGCACACACCTCCCAAATCTCAATTGTGTGTTGTGTGAAGCTGCGTGTATTGCAGACCGATTGGTTGATCCAACTCTACTCTGACAGAGATGAAGCTGCCTGCTAATTGGTCCGCTGACAGGTACTCACATGTCTGAAAACGTCAGAGAAAACTGGCATTACCTGGCTGTACTAACCACCTATTCTCAATCTAAATGGTTACTTTGCCACTCAAAAAATTGCAACATTTAATAAAGTGACATAATACCAGCTCTAGCATGAAACAGCTTTGAGCCTAGTTCAAAATCTCTACTGTTTCCATTTCCTGACTACTACTACTACTACTACTACTTTTGTGTACTTTGCTGTAGTGTTGTAGTCAAGACCATCGAGACCGAGACCAGAGTATATTGAGACCAAGACAAGACCAACACTTTAGGGGTTGAAACCAAGGCAAGGCAAGACCAGACCAGTGCAGTTCAACTGAGTTTGATAGTACTGGCTCACCTGTGTTTCACTAATAACGTGATATAGGAGTCAAGTTATTGAATATTTTTCCCTATAAAATTCCCCAAAATTATGAAAAAGGTATTTTTGTTGCTTTCCAAAATCAGTTTTATAGTGTTATCAGTAGTATAACCTACAAGAAACCCTTGATGTTTGAAGTGACTGTGGTGACTCTGAACTGTAAAAGTGAAGTTATTGAATATTTTTCCCCAATAGAAATTCCCCAAAATTATGCAAAAACTTTACTATAACCAACAGGAGGCCCCTGATGGCTGAACTGAATTTGATTGTAGGCCTGCTTTGCTATATAAGAGTAATTTAGGTTAATATTTTTTGTAGTAGGCTCTCTCTTTTTGGTGCAGCACTTTGTAGATGATCCCTATGCACTCACCTCACCAGCTGCACAGAAACTAGAGTTACCTGTCTGGTGAGTGTGTACATGTATATGTGGGTTAAAGTTGGACGATGGCTTGTTTTGATGAAAATTAAGTTGAAGCTTGTTTTCAACCTTACTACAGTTGGAAGGAGGCATCATTTGTGTTTTAACAACATTCTGCTACGACTTATTGATCCAGGAACTTAGCATCTGTGAATATCATTCAGACTTTACCATAGTCCAGCTTCCCAAGCTAACCAGTTTAATTCAGTGGGCCTACCTTCTTTGCTAGCTAGGTTAGCAAGTTCCTTTAGCTGTAAACTAGGCCATATTTGTTTTATTTTTTCTGCTGTCCTTATTAAGATGCTCATCTAATCTGGGTGTAACTACCCTCCCGACAATACAGAGGAATATCCAATCAGTTGTTTGATTAGCTTCACAATCAGTCACACAAACACTTCAAACAATGATTGTGGATTGCAGGTCATTTCTGTTGCCAACCTACATATCTGTTTGAGACTAAGCCACCTCTGTCAGCATAAAACTCTCACCATTGTCTTTGCATCGTTCTGATGTGTCACCCTTTTTTATGTTCATTCGGCTTAAAGCACTCGTTGCATCTAAGTGTTTATATGGTAGGGAAAACCTTGCTAATGGTAAATAAGACAGACAATGCACAGGCACTTTTCCTACAATGGTGGTCTTTCCTGGTCTTGAAATAAAATCCGAGTTCTCATTGTCCAAGACCCAGACAGAGCCGTGGTCGATTCCGAGATGAGACCAAGATCTTCAAAAAGTGGTCTCGAGACTCTTCTCAAAACCAAGACTGATGTCAAGTACTACAACACTACTTTGCTTTTTGAGTGCCTCCTAGATAGAATGTTAGCATTCGCACAAATCTAAATGCAACTGTCTCTGAAAGACAGACACACATGTTCCCATACATGCAGTGATGTAAAAGTCTAAATGTGGCTTTATGTGGTCAACAAGAATAGACTTCATTTTATCTCAGCCAGTCACATACTCTTCATCGAGTGCTAGCTTTATTTGTATTGTTGGAAGAATTCTGAGAGGAAGGCTCAACACTGTCACATTCCTATGCAGTATAGGCAAACCATTGTACATCGCACTGCAGCTACAAATAATTAAAGTATTGTATAAGCTTACAATCCTACAAGATAGAACTGCAATCCGTACTTGCCCTAGCAACCTCTCAATTCAGGCACACTAACATACTGTATCATTCCATTATACAAGATCAGGCTGGATGGACAATTTCCCATCATAGGGGTGGACAGTGTGACCTGCAATGCCAAATAGTAGAAGTATAAAGGTCTGCATATGCTATATGTATTAATACAGAACACATTTTAAAAATAAAATCACATAAAGTGCTTTTAAAGCATTACCATAACTCACTGCATGAGTTGTTCATTTAAGTCTTGTAAAAACATGGGCATATGACTTCCTTTTTAGACTAAATTCTTTTCATTCTAACAGTGGGTGAAAAAATAAATACAGAAAATAGACCAATCCAAAACATAGCGATTATTTCACCTGCCTTTTTCACAGAATACATTTTAACATGTCACAGCAGAACAAGCAGAGGGATGAATAATAAAATGATAGCTAAATTCCATTTAGCTGCTTCAGGTTTAGGGTCACGGTGTTGTGCATGCCTGCTCACTATTACATTGTCTCTGTCTGGCTCCTCAGTAAGATTGGGACCCGAATGAGCCACTGTTAATGTGAATAGCAGCACCTGTGCTTCTCCTACTCTAAGGGTGCACCCAGGTAGACTGTGGGGTTGAAATATTATTTGTTGCATAAAACTGTGACCTGTGTTTTGTGTTTTTTAGTTAATACACAAAGTTAAACTGCATTCGGTGTGTGTTTTTCATTTATATACTGTGAAACAGTCTCTGGAAAAATTATCCGTAAATTACAGGTACCGGATGTACATATTCTGGTTATTTAATTTAATGTCATTTCTGGGGTCTCTCTAATTGGTGTTTTAAGGGTGAGAACCATACTGAACCCTAGACAAAGTTGTTATACATTGGAATGTCCCTTTGCCAATTGGTGTTATTTGAGCTTGAAGGGGTATATACTAACTAGTCACTTCCTTGCTACAACGAGCCGGGTGGCAAAAGGGTTACACACACTTCAGAGTCATATTGTGAGCTGCAATGATGAAATTCCCCTAACTTGGATGAGCCTGTGATTTCAATTTTTCACTTTGATTTTCAGTGTAATTTTGAGTACAGCCCTCGATGGGTTGTTGAATTTGGTTTCCATTGACTGTTAAGTCATTTTGTTCTGAACAGATTATACAATGCACATTAGAAAAGGGGTTCAACTTAATTCATTAATAAAGATCTGATGTGTGATCTAGTGTTCCCTTGATTTATTTTGAGCAGTGCATTTTCACTAGGAAAACCTCAACACGTTATGAAATGGTTGAGAATACTTTCCATCTCAGACACAAGTAGACATCATTTGGCAAAAACTAGCTGTGGCAGGGCATTTGTGTGCTAACGCTGCAACTACCACATGGTGCCCATATACACAGCTGAAAAACATGGCTTTAAAGCAATGGGTTCACACTATAATAAACCATAAACATTTCACCCAAAAAGAAATTTTCAAATTGGGCTGTAGCTGTCGTGAGACAGTGGAGCATACAGATACACACCACAAGCCCTGGACTGAATTTGAAATCACATTCTATTATGACAGATTAGATAAATTAGATAACTGATGCTGTGATATTATTACTGATCCATATTAAAAATAATCCATGGGATTTTAGGTCATACCGCCCAGCCCTGTTTTGTTGTATTGTGTGCTGTAAAAATGCCATTGCTTATTATGAAACCTTGAATGCTGTATTCATATACTGTAGCTGTGGATAAAGTAATAAGTGTTTAGTGGTTGCAGAAATGTGTTCCCTGACTTATTTCAAGGAAGAAGATGATATCTCACACAGTCACAAAAATTCACACTCAGAATACACAGAAGGAAGCACACTTTTGTGCACTGGCACACATCCAAACACATGCAAAATAAGTATCAGAGTACAATGATTGGTTACTATAGATCTTCAGAAGATGGATGTACATGTCTGGGGGTGGAAAAAACAAGGAGACAATTACAAACAATATTGTGACCTAAATTGGTAATATTTCTAGTAGATTCCCAAATAAATAAAACACTCTAGAGATAAAGCCAGCAGGTAGAGTTCTGGGGAACAACACCCACAAAGAAACATGCATGCTTATACAGATGAACACAGTATCATTTCAATTACTATAGCAAAATGCGGTTCTTAATATAGCATGTAACATGCAAAGATAGCATTGTCCTGTCAGTGTGGTTTGACTTTGGCTACTGTTTTAATATTCATTGACTATCTTTTCTCCATATGGTTCAGGCCAAGCTCAGCTCTATCAACACATAGGGCTCTATTTTCCTGAAATAGGGTGCAGAGGTAAAAGTCTACACTCCAGGTGCAAGGCACATATAGACATGTCCAACAATAATTTACAATTTTGGTGACTACCAGCATTGCTGGATTTTGGGTGCAGCCAGAAGCATTTGAGCTCAATTTGGAAAAGAGTTGAAATACATTATTAGAGGGAGGAATGCATAATGACCAGCTGGAGTTAGAGCAGGCTTTAGTAATGGCCAATCAAACCAGCTCCTCTCATCTGCAGAAACCTGACTTTGATTGATGTCACTGATGTCGTGACATGGAAATGTATGATATTTATTGTAGAAGCAATGCACATAAATATTCACTCAGTAGCCTGCTAATATGACTGACCAGCTTATGTGAGTGGAAGACCGAAAGACTCCTGTACTCCAGGTCCTGTACCCAGCAAGCAATTACATAGTGTAATTTACTCTCAGCTGCACAGCTCCAGGGTGTGAAATGCACCACGATTTACAGCTGAAAATCTCAGCTTCAGCAGAGCTTTTGAAATGTACCTACAATGAGGTCCGACTGACTTTATCTGCAGTCAATAATGCTTGCAAAATAAGTGACTGCAACATCTGCAGCTACCTTCATGTGGTATTTTGTGGTGCCTATGTGTAATTGTTGTATGTGGATTTGATGTCAGATCTGCTATTCTCAAAGACTGGCTGGAAATACTCATCATACATATTTCATAATTCAGATAATTTCAGAATAAACTAGATGGCAGAGGGAGCAAACCTCGCCAATGCAGCTCACTTCCCCCATAATGCAATTTTAATGCTATTATACTTAAACGTCATATTCCAATGATAATTTGACACTCATAATAGGATTCCTTGGCCATAAAAGCCTACCTGTAGCATTTGGAATGATATTGATATCATTGGTAGTTTGAGCTTCAGTATCTATCTCGCCAACTTTTGAAGATCCATCAAATCATCAGCTTGAATTTGAATCTTAGTTGCAAGTCTGTATTTGCTGTCTCAGAGTAAAGGGTGGATACCCGAACCAAACATGACTTGAGGGTTTGGGTCAAGTTCAGACAGAAATTTAGGAATCATGTTCAGGTTTGGGTTGAGTTCAGTCACGTAGGTCAAAATATAGGCTTATTACATGCTTCTTCTTCAGTCTATATGCACTATTGAAGAAAGAAAGTCACTTTCACTGTGGTGACCCCTAAACAGGAAAAGCCAATTCGTCACACTAATGACTCGCATGTTGACATTTGGCATGTGCTTTACGCCGGATGCCCTTCCTTACACAACCATGACTCGAACTTGGGCTGCAGCAGCAAGAGCACTGCGCCTTAACCACTAGCCTATCAGGGACGGCTAGTCTATATGCACTATTAAAGATTAAAATTACAAGCCTGTAATGCATTATCAGCAAAGTGCATGATAATGCTATCTATGATATTAGATGCTCAAGGGCAATACAAGAAAAAAAGACTTCACAAACTCAACTGTGTAAGGCTTGGATGTGAAATATAATATGCTTGTTGGGTTCAGTCGCCACACACTTGGGCCCTCTTGGCCCCAACCCACAATGGTGAGGAATCCTTTAAAAAGTTCTGGATCTTGATGATGATCTGGATCACCATCAAAATCTAATGGATATGCCCTAAGCTACCTCTCCAAAAATCTTAATCAAAATCCATTCAAACTAACAAACAAACAGATGTCGGTAAATGCATAACCTTCCTGGTGGAGGTAATTATTCACAGTGAATTCCGGCAGATTAGCAATGGACTCAAGGGTTTATTTTAAGTGAGTGTGGCCATTAAAATACATTTGGGTACCTGTTCTCCTGCTTCCCAGTTCTAGGGAAATTGTTATGCACCTATGATTGTGATAAAGGGTGGTCTGAGCAGGCACTATCACTGTTTCAGGTCTGCACCTCATGTCCCACCTTTAGCGTAAGCACATTCATTCATGGCAAACAAACAGAATTGTGGCCAAGGAAAATTCATAAACATTGTCTTTGAAACTATGCTGGCTTTGCACGGGCAGGAAAATGGAGCCCATAATGTTAACAGACAGCAACAACAGTCCAGATTGGTTGATGTGAGCAGTTATTTACCAGAGGAGGTGTTGGGGGTGACAGATCCACAGGCCACTGGTTCAGTCAACTGACCCTGTTATGGTTGTCTGTAAATATAAAAGAAGAGGTGCCCACCGACACGACAACACGTTAGCTTCCACTGAATAGAGGGAGAAGGTTTGAGATCTGTAATCCAATGGACCTAAGACATAATGACGTGATGCAGTGTTTACCATGACACTGTATGGGTGAATAGTGGAGACGACATTATGCACGCAATTGCGTAAAACATTGCGTCATGTCATTATGGTTTAGGTCCATTATAGGTAAGGAGTTAGATAAGGTGCACAAGCCATAAACACAGTTATGTATGTCTGAGCTGTTGCCAGTCTGCTGCATTTATTAGGACTTAGGCAAATAAAACTTGTGCTGTAAAAGTCCGCCTGTTTCGCATGTAAACGGAAAGTGGGTTTTTTTTGTTTTGTTTTTTTACACTGCATCCAAGCATACAGTGATTTTGTTAAGAAGTCAATGTTTTTGTGTTTTTAGATTTTGAGATAGAACATATAACAAAAAACATGAAATTCAACCGTCTCATGATTTGTACAGTAGGATTCTGGTTTTAAGAAACGTGGGTATTTTTAGATTTTGAGATAGATGTCTGTGCAGATTCTCAGTCATCCAGGTCATAGTAACTGAAAAAAACCTTAGAAAAAAATCAACTGGACTTAGATTTCTAGATCGAAGACGTTTCACCTCTCATCCAAGAGGCTTCATCAGTTCTGACTGACTGGTGTTGAGCCGGAGATATTTATCCCCCTCGGTCAGGATTGTAGATAGATGACAAGTTGTCTTAGTCCACCACCCCTATTTAGTGACGGGTGTTCTATTTTTACAAAAATAGCTTCCTTGACTCCTCTCTCAAACCAGCGATGTTCTCTGGAGAGGATCTGGACTTCACTGTCCTCAAAAGAATGTCCTTTGTCCTTCAGGTGGAGGTGGACCGCTGACTCTGGTCCACTGGAGTTTGGCCCTCCTGTGTTGGGCCATGCATTTGTGAAGCGGCTGCTTAGTTTCACCAATGTACAAGTCGTTACACTCCTGACTACACTTAATTGCATACACCACATCACTCTGTTTATGTCTGGGTGTTTTGTCTTTCGGGTGGACCAGTCCCTGCCGCAGGGTGTTCCCTGGTTTAAAGTTAACTGGGATATTGTGGTTGTGAAAAATAGGGGTGGTGGACTAAGACACAACTTGTCTTGACAGACTTGACAATAGGCGTTGGTCGACAGGGGAGGATTCAAAGACAGATTATAGCAGTTTTTGTTCTTTTAATTGTTTTGTCAGAAGTGGTATCTGACAGTGGGACGTATGCATAGAGTCACATTAACAGTTTAGTGGAACATCTTGGTAAGATCGGCTTATTTGTAAAAAGCTTGCAGTGATGGTCTATCATAATCAGCAGTGGAATACAGCATCAAAAGTCACTATATGCAGGTGATATCTAACAGAAATAAATGTTTATAAATGGCATATGCCATTAGAACAGCAGCAGAGTACTATTAAGAATTATCATATGCTGCTTAGGCAAGAGTAGTGTACATTCGCAACCTTTAAATCTAGGTGTTGCTGGTAGTTTCTGATGGAGGATTAAGGATGCTATGTGAGATTTCTTACTTGGTTTCCTCCTCTGCCACACCTTCGGCCTCCAGTTTTCCCTCCTCTTCCATCTTCTCCTCTGAAATCAGTTCCTGTTTTTGGTGTCGACGAAGACATTTCACTACTACCATAGAAAGGATTATCAGAGCTAATGCTCCGCCCACTGATGCCCCAATTGCAACTGCAATTGTTGAATCCCTTGGAGGTGGAACTGAGGAGAGGAGAGGGTTAAATATTTTGTAGACAAAGGATGGAGATAAGTGCAATGCTGTACTAAATGCTCTACTTGTATGATAGAAAGAAAGAATGTGCTGCTGATTTAACCCATGTGATATGTGTGTGTGTGTGTGCGAGAGATGCTGATGGACCAAGTTCAATCTCTTGTTGGTCATTACGTAATAAGTAAAAGGCTGACTCATCACCAGTAGGTCCTCCCACTTCAGTAAAGGCACATAGTCATACTGTACACAGACAGTATGATTATTGTATGTGATTCCACTGCAAAACATGCTAACCTCTTCACATCTGACAACACATACAGTAAAGTTTGTCACATCAAAATGAAAAAAGTGTATTTTTAAGGCACAGCTTAGGATCCATAGACAATCACAGTTTTGTGTCTTTCAAAAGCAGGGTTAGTATCTTACGTTTAGTGACAACATTGAGCGTTATGCGACCATGTCCCAGGGTGCGATCTGGGGGGTTTTTCACGTAACAGTTGTATATCCCCACATCTTCCAGGTTAACATCTGATAGGGTGATTGACAGATCATTCTTTTCCAGGTTCCCAATAAACATGACCCTATTTGCAAACTTTGCTGGGTGCAGCGGCACCATTCCTTTTTTTTGGTCGAAATTCATTAACTATGGAGAGAGAGAGAGAGAGAGAGAGAGAGAGAGAGAGAGAGAGAGAGAGAGAGAGAGAGAGAGAGAGAGAGAGAGAGAGAGCATATTACTGATTTATAGATTTAAGATGTAGGTGGCCCATTATTGGGGTTGTTAAGCACATCAAGACTAGCCATTTTACCTTCTCCTCTGTCTCATTGTGTGGTTGTTGATAGGTCCAGTTCACGGAAAACCTGGTAACATCTATCTTATAACAGGAGTTGAATGTGCATTGAATTTTGACAGTTGTTCCATTCAGTGCATTGATGCTAGTGTTCCCGAGCCCATCCATGCTTAAACAACCTGTAAATAAAAACAACAGCAATGATAACAGTGCAAGTATCAAGGGCAATTTAAAGCCTGAGCTAAAAGCATTGAGACAAACCTGACTCTAAATATTTGCCAGGATTTTGAACAAATATTGATAAGAAATCAAGTTCACACTCATTTGATGTACACTGTGGTACATAATTTGGCCTCACCTACAGCTTTGTGATTACATGCATAATTTGTATAAATTGTCATCACACATCTGTATGAATGGCACAGGCTGAGCTAAAAGTGCATCCACTCAGCAGTTTCAGTTTGCCAAAATGTAGTGGGGATGTGTTACTCTACGTAACTGCTGACTCCTCTTCTGCACTTCATCTGGAGAGTGCCGCATTTCAGACTGGCAAGGATTTAGTGTGGGTTCCTCAAGTCGGAGAATAGATTTAAACCTGGCAAGTCCCACAAAGTGAATGTACTGTAGATCAAGCAATTGGCCTTCTATATACTTTACAATTCCAGAGAAGTCTGTCCAAAACAGACAGCACATAGAAAGTGGTGTTTCACAGCATGTTTGTTTAATTCACCAGCACAAGTCTTTACAGTATGTTACAGATAAATTTGTATGGTGCATTTTCCAAGCAGTGTTTGTCTAGAGAAAAAAAAAGATATCCACACAAGTTTCCATAACAACAACACTACTGTTGCTGTGAATTTAAGCATAATTCCTATGTTGGCAATGGTGACATCCATGTGGAAACACAGGGGATTTCAGCGTTTAAAATTACTTGTGATATTAAAATTTACATGTAGCAATATGATTGCATTGCTTATCTTGTATATGATTACGCTATTTGAGGAAATGCACAGTGATTAGCACTGTCGCCTCACAGCAAGAAGGCTCCAGGTTTGAGCCCTGGCCGACCCAATGCCTTTCTGTATGGAGTTTGCATGTTCTCCCTGTGCCTGTGTAGGTTCTCTCAAGGTACTCCAGCTTCCTTCCACAGTCCAAAGACATGCAGCTTCGGTTGATTGGTGACTCTAAGTTTCCCCTAGGAGTGAGTGCGAGAGTGTGTGGTTGTTTGTTTACATGTCAGCCCTATGATAGACTGGCGAGCTATCCAGGGTGGACCTTGTCCAATGTCAGGTGGGATTGGCTCCAGCCCCCCCGTGACCCGATTCAGGAATAAGCAGTATGGTTGGATATTCTTCAATTTGGAAAGCTAAACAAAGGTCTGATTTTGCCATGATCATGATATTGTTTTGTACAGGAGTGGACAGAAACTGAATTAGACCACTTCACTGAGCCACTTTTGGAAGTAACAAGTTTAATCAAAAAGCATATAACTGCATACAATTTGAAGTGAAATGAAAGTATAATTTATTTTTAAAGTTTCCTCCTCCTCACTAATATTACACCGATCAGGCATAACATTATGACCACCTGCCTAATACTGTTTACATAGGAGTCAATGTGGCAGTTGGTTGGCACTCGTGCCACTGTGCAGCTCACTGTGCATCTTCTGAGAATCCATTTGCTTCTGCAGTTCTACTGTCAGGAAGAGCACAGACGTGTCTACAATTCAGTTTATCCTTCCTTAGACACAGTAGGTAGGTTCTAACCACACTGCAGAGCAGGAACACCCAACAAGACCTGCAGTGTGGGAGATAATCTGACCAAATCATCTCACCATCACAGTTTATCCCTTGTCAAAGTCACTCAGATCCTTACACTTGCCCATTTTTCCTGCTTCCAACACATCAACTTTGAGGACTGACTGTTCATTTGCTGCCTGGTACACCCCACACACTAACAGGTGCCACTGTAACAGATAGTCAGTGTTATTTACTTCACCTGCCAGTGGTCATAATGTTATGCCTGATCGGTGTATGTCTCAGCATGGACTCACACACTCTGGACATATTCTGTGCCTCTCTCTCAGTGTGTGTGTGTGTGTGTGTGTGTGTGTGTGCAAGATGGGACTCTGCACCATTCTCTCCTCTGCAGATGGGTGTTTCTGGCTCCCTTCCCACCACTGCTGCATCACTCCACAAACCTGTCTCTGTGCACCACACACACACACACACACACACACACGCACACACGTAACACTTACACACACAATTTCTCATGCACACAGTTAACTATAGGTAAAGTCTAGTGTCTGGTGATGCAGCACAGCACTTTTTCTTCTTGTGCTCTCTATTACACACACATGCATACACATCCTCCTACAAGGTGTGTATTGTCAGCAGTGAGCTAAGCAGTAGCTCACTGCTATGTCAACTCCTTCTCATCTAAACACATGTGCATCTTTGCTATTACAAGTCGGGCAGATATAAAGTGCGAGAACCAGTTCGATACAGACTGGCTCCTGCTCCTGCTGACTCAGCAGTGAGAAAAAGAGGCAGATGCAGACGGAGAGACAGAGAATTGCCAACAGATGAAATACTGCAGTGAAGCAGCCTGATGCGACTCCTCCTGCTCTCTGCCTCCCCCTTCCTCTCCCATTTTTAGTCCACTCGTCTTGCCTCCTGTCATGCGTCTTTCCCAATACCCCTTCTGTCCGACCCCACTACTACCCTCAAAATTACAGTGCACTGTTATTCCTCATCTTTACTTTCCAGTAGTCCATGCACTTCTCTCTCTTACTCTGCATTCCCTCTGTTGTTCCCTTGTCTCACAAGGTCAGGGAAGGTAAAAAGGTACAACGTAGGTAGGTCTGTTACATCATCCTTCCTGTGCTCTCCCCACTCTTCTTATCCAGCTCTGTCACCACCTTTTCATTAGCTTTTATTGTATGTATGCACAGAGTCTATTCACACTAGAGATGTATACTTGCAAAATGTCACTTTTGATTTAATATAGGTATATTGGTGTAAAGAGGTAAAGCCTTTCTGCCTGCCACATTGATGGATAAGGGAAGGGATTGAGTTCAATAACATTTTATCTAATCTAAATCTAGTTCTGAGTCCGCTTATCACACCCGAATCTGTTAAAGTAGTTTGGTTAAAAAAAGTTTACATTTTTATTTTACTTGGTGCAATATCAAAACAAACTGAAAGTGTTTTGCATAAATAAATCGCTTAATATTTAATAAAAACACAATGGGCAATTTTAACTTTGAAGCATGACACTAAATGATAGAAAATATGGTTATTAATTCCATTCTATTGTGCCGAAGGGTTGTTGGGACTCCTACAGATCACAATATACAGCATATATAACACCAACAGTGGTCTAACACTAAGTGCTCATCCTTTCCAAGTTAACAAAAAGGCAAATCCTTACTTTAACATTGTCATTTCCCCATGAGTATGAGTTATCACATGTTTATTTGCTGTGCACCATCAGTCTGTTCTTTTTTTTGCTGAAATCTGTGAGGTCAGAGAAAGATTAGAGAGAATGTACATTAAAGATTCAATAAGGGATTCATTTCCTGGTATTTATAATCCTGGTATTTTGTTAACTTGGAACAAGATCTAAAATGGAACCAGCTATTGCAGTCCAGCCCATATACAGACCAACTGAGGCCAATGCTAGGTCCAGACTACGTGCTGAGGTGACTCAAAATCAGTTTTTTTTCCTGCAAGTGACTCAGATCTGATCTTTTGATGGATGTGTTGACAAACCAAATCCAATATTTTCAGATCACATCTGGGACACTTCCATATGTAGTCTTCCTTTTTCTTTTAACCTTCCCTCTGCCCTCCACCTCCTACAGAGCTCAAATGCCACCACAAAGCCTTCACAACCCACTTTAATAGGGATTTGATATATATCAAAATCAGCTTTATTGGACAAGTATGTTTAAATGCACAAGAAATTTGACTCTGGTACAGAGGCTCTCAGTGACCCTTGGGCAATATTAGCTTAATGACAATGGTATCAGAACGAGTTACGCCATAACACCAGATCTGGTGTTATGATCTGCTTGTTACATTTTTTGGTGGAAAAATGATTAATCTCATGTTGCAGTCAGTGGGACAGAGTCTCCTGGTGACAAGTTAGCAAAACAAATTACATGGGTTAGAGACTTCTTAGCTTAGGGTGGGACAAGACACCATTGGTTATTCATTGAACTTCCATTTCTGCTGCTGTTTATCATCTGAACACTTAACAAATGATTACAGTTGTTATTGTTTTTACTTCCTAATGGGTGTTAGGGTGAATCCTTAGTTATATTTGCAACTAATCTGCTAAACAAAACCTGCAAAACCTATCAACATTTTTTAGATTATATGATGACCCGAGCCTAGTACCCTTACATTCTTAATCTGACCTTTTTGTTGTGATTTCCTTGTGGTGTGTACTGCTGGGCTGGGCTCTAGTGCCCTCTGCTGTGGAGAAGTCACCCTGCATCTTGTACACTGCAGCACTCAGGTGCCAGAACCAGGTGCAATCAGAAGTCAGTAAAATGGACTGTAATTATATAGCGCATTTTTCACAGTGTGTGGCACTGGCCAAAGTGCTTTACAGGAGATCATACACCATTCACCCATTCACACACACATTCACACACCGATGACAACAAGGCTGCCACACAACAGCGCTAGTCAAGCCACCGTGAGCAATTCGGGGTTCAGTGTCTTGCTCAGGGACACTTAGGCATGCGGGGAGACCGGGAGTCGAACCACCAACTTGCTGGTCAGAAGACGACTTGCCCTACCTCGTGAGCCACAGCCACCCCCCAAGTAGTCAGTAGAACTCACAACAAAAATATGGCATCTGTCAGGGATTCCTGAGTTGCAGGAATCTTGTGGAAGGGAAAGTTTTTCTCTCGTTTTATATCACGACTTGCCTGGGATAGGGCTCACTCTCAGAGCCATATTCAGTGAAAAGCAAAAACAGTACTGTGTGAACCAGCAGCATCTTTGTGGGATATGGCAAGGACACATTAACAAATACACTCACTATTTCAGTACAGGGTAATAAACATAATAACCGCACAAGCCACCTTTTCAAGTTTCACCTATGATAGTATGGAATACAAAGCAACAAAAATGTCAATTAAATGTAGTTAGTGTTGGAATGTACTTTCTGTTTCTTGTCCTCCTCTCGCTTTGATTCTTTCACTCTTATGCATTATTGACAGCCATGTCCGCTTACAGTAGAGTCACAAAGTCTGGCTTTTTCAGACAGATTTTAAACCTTACTAAAGCTTCTCAAAGCATCTGAGTGGAATCTACAGCAGATTTGAAACATTAGAAACTTTCTCTTATAACTTTGTGCCACAAACATGAATATTTATACAATAAGACTGCAGGGAAAATGTCATATTGTCAAGTCATAATGTTTTCTTTTTATGATAAAGTTCAACTGGGATTTAAACCCAGAATCTCTGGATTACTAGTCAGATCACTTTCTAGAAATAAGTCCCTCCTGCTGGCCACAGTCACAGCTGTTTGTAGCAGCTATCATCCAGGAACAGTTCTAATTTTTTCTTCTTGCTGTTACATCAGTGTTTTGTTTGTACTGTGGTAATTTGATGCGTATATGCTTACTAATGCCAATCAAGGATTGTGCTTTGGCCTGTTTGAAGTCCATGCCAGTGTATTTACATGCATTCTCAGTGTGCAGCTGCCCTCTAGTGTCTCTCTGTGGCAACTAACTGTGGGGATGCTGACTAAAGTTCTGAGTGGTACTTCTGAATTGCTAGAGGATAAGGTGTAGGGTGTAATATTGCTTGGTTGGTGGGTACCAGCCTTTTCTCCTTACTCTCATGTATGAGGCACTGGCTTTACTGATTTTTCACAAACCAGATCAAGGTGTGGCACCACACCTGTTATTCAACTTATGAAGGATGTAGATATATTACAATCTTACAACCACCTACTATATGTAAAATGTGAATAAATATTAATATTTGTACATCTAAAATTAAAGTAAGCTCAAGTTGGCTGTTCAGATAATTGAGAAAGTAATTAGATTGTTCTATGATTTGCTTTGTGGTGCATCTCCAAGTGATAGACACATGTTGGCTGTGTGTTATGTAGTATTCTTTAATTTGGACAGTTCTGCAGCCTACATATAAATAACACTGAAAGAGGAATGTACTGTACTTTTCTTTAATTTGTTCTTTAGCGCAGGCTACACCATGTTTAAAAGGGAAAGAAAGCAGCAACTGTAGCTTAGTAGCATCTCCATGTAACAAGCTCCTCAGCAACAATAAACCTTTGCATATCTACAGTACTCTCAGTTGGCACAGATGAAAAACAAAGAGCTCTGATACCATTTAAAATACATTAGTATGGGTTCTCCTGTCAGTTTTCCAAACCACTGAACTGCAGCACTTGATGACGCAAGAACAACAGGAGATCAAATTCAGCTCTACTTTCTCCAGCTCCTTTTGCTCTTATGGCATCAAACTGAACCAGCATGATTATAATTTTACCTTTCCAGTATTTTATCTTTCTATTTACATGTTTGTCAGCTAACGCTAGCTTCGGACTGGAGACAGTTTGTCGTAAGTAGGCATCCGTAGGTTGTGTCTGTCTCTGTAAATGGGGGGGACAAAGAGCAGTTAGAAGGGGCTCATGATGTCAGTTGGTTTTGAGTCTCACTAGACCCTCTAGCTCCGCCATGGCCGGTCCCAAGCCCGGGTGAGAAAGGAGGAGGGTTGGGCGTGGGGCCAGCAACCCCACCCTGTAAAACCTCACACGCTACAGAAACTAAAACAACGAGGCCCTTTGTTCCACGGGGAATCCAAGGAGATAGTTTAGACCCTCTAGCAGCTGGAAACAAATTAGGCATAGTAGCTTTAAGTTGGCATAAAGTAGGTGTGCCAATATCTGTACATGACATGATCATATATTGATTTCCCCTATTAATGGGCTAGGAAGAATTTACTAAAGTTGTGTTCTCATACCCTATTGTGTAACAAAAGGTGGCTTTAAGCAGGAAGTGAGTAGCTTATACAAGCTGAGTGTTGCTATATATCAACACAATACAGGCATATATATTGTATATATTGCCGGATTGTCTTTGGTTTGTAAATCTACTGGAGACCACTGGTTTTATAATTAGTTTATTTGATCATCTCAGTTTGTGTAGTGATGCTGTGGTTATCTTTAGATGTGGATCTCAGTGTGAAAGTGTGCTTTGATTGTATTATCATGAACCAGTCCAGGTTAGGTATCATCGGGTTCACATCTGTTCTCTGTTTCATGCATTCATATGTTCATATAAACAGATTAATTATAGATGACCACATTTGTAGGTTTATACCTCTGCTACTGAATACTGGGCCTGCATATATCAAGAGTCATTGTTAGCACCTTATTATATGACTTCCTATTTCTATCCATAGCTCACAACATTCAGTCACAGGCACTTATTGTACTCTATCATTCTTGCAGACTAAGCCAATGTTTATTTTTATATAATGCATCATAATCCTGTTTAAAGGCTGTGATACAGAACACTGGGGCACTTACTGTATGTACCTTTCAGCAGAGGCTAAATAAAATGGGAAAGCATGTATTTTAAGATCTAACACAACTGATCAGAAATCAGTCTTAGCTAGAAATTAGTTAACCGAATCGATGGCCTTGTCAACCTGGGAAAATACTGGAATAACAATTGAGCGACATGGTCTCACATTACGCCCCTTTTCTCGACCCCTCACTCGCTCTCTTTCTCTCTGTCACACACACGCAAATATGAGATAAAAGGCCTAAATACGGGGCAGTGTGCTGGGGTTATTGTCACATCGAACTGTTGATTCGCCTATCAATTTATCAGAGCATCGATCGGTTTGGCTGTTTTGTGTCTTACCGGAGAGCGAGAGCAGCAGCAGCAGCGCGCTCAGCAGCTCAACGCCACATCTTCTCTTCTGCGCAGGGGAAGACATGTTCTCTCCTTGTTGTTAAAAAACAAAACAAAAGCGATGGTTTTTAGTCTCAGAAAAAAAGTCAGTACATAGAAAAGAGGAGCAAACTACTCTTTCTGTATGCCTCAAAATGCTAACAACGGTATTTTTTTGTTTTAGAGGTAGGACATGGCTGGCAGTGTGCGTAGCCTTATTACGGTTGATCTCGTGGTTGTCCGTCTGTTGGCGACGGAGGAGGGAGGGCAGAAGAGTAAACGCTAAAATAAAGATGGAGACTATTTCCCTCACATATTATGATTGCTGAAACGGCATATAAACATATTACCTGTAGCATAATAAATTATAAATATACTAAGGGATCAATAAATACATATTAAGAGGACAGACAGATTGATGACAAACAAATACTGTAGTATTTTCTTCCAAACAGGCTCTGGCGGACAAATTAAGTTATCTCAGACCAACACTGACATGTCTGTACTGCAGTTTGTTGTTGCTTATCAGCCAACAATGATACAGATATTTGCAACATGCTAAAATCATCCAGGAACCTCATATCAACCAATCTGATCACCTGTGAAAATTTTGGAGCATCACCAAAGCACCAAAATGAGGAAAAAGATTTTATCTTTTGGTAAAAAAAAAAAAGTCTCCCATCAATACAGAGTGACTTGTACAGTCTTACACCAAAAATCATTAAAGCCTCTAGTGGCAAACTGAGCCATGTTAGGTTGATTTTTCATTTCATTTGGTATCCATGTGCATGTAAATGAAGAACCTGTTATATGTTGGATTTTTATTTCAACAAAAACAGAAATTGATGATAAGCCACAATTCAAACATAACAACACTTACACATTCAGTTTTAGTAATGTTAGTTATTGTATATGCCCACAAACATCAGGAAATAAATGTCTGTACAGAATCGTGGAGGCCCTATAGAGAGCAACCAGGCTGCCATGCAGACAAACAAAAGATTAAGCAGAAACCATCTAAACATCCCTCCTCTAATCCCTCATCCATCCATCCTTCCTGGGTGGGAGGAGAGGATACTTGGAAATAAAAAAGTCAAACACTCACTGGTATTCACAGATATCACTTTTCATTCTCTCTTTTCACTTTTTGTTTATTGGAGGCAAAGCCGGGATAGTAACGAACAAGTGAGGTGTGGGTTTGGTGAAAAGGCAGAGGTAAAGTGATAGACTAGAGGGAGACAGCATGCAGGACAGAGGCAAAACCCCACAATTCCTTTGAGCAGAGTGAAAATGTCAACTTCATAATAATGGGTAATGTCAAGATAAAGGAAAAAGGAGAGGAAAATGAAGAGTGGGTGAGGGAGGAAGCTTTATGGCAAAGAAGGAAAAGCAAGGCTAATTTATTTATATATAGGACATTTTCATATACAAAGGCCATTCAAAGTGCTTGACACAATGCACACAAATAGCAACAATTACATGACAGTACAAAGTAGCAACATGCATGAGTAAAAATCTAGTTATATACATATATAAAAAATTCCCCACTTGCCCCCACTTTGGGGCGGTCTTGTATTCCTTTGTAGTGGTAAAAGCAAACTTAATATAGTTTATACTTATTAGGCCAGTGTTAGTTACATTCTAAGTAAACAGGAAATATTTTTATCACTTACATAAACTCAACTCTAATGAGCTCCACAGGGCTAAGTATGGTCAGAGATAAACTTTTGTGAGGATCCGCTGCATAAACATGGGGTCCAGCATCCTGTTTTCTATTAATTCTAGGGGTTTCCCAGAACCGGAGTGAGAAGGGAGGGGGGCCCGCTAGATGTCCAGATTGACATGATGCAGGAGGTTCAAGAAGTAGAAGGGCTATATAATCAGCTGCAAGGCTGATAAGAGAGACTCAGACTGGGTGAGCGTGTGGGTGCATTTGGGGGGACTTCAGAAGACAGACAAAGACCCCAAACTCTGCAGAGAACCCAAGTCCAGGTGATTCTGTTTCTCTCCCTCTGAATTCACATTACAATATATTGTTCAATAAATGATGATTGGCACTGCAGTGATTCTCCCTGTGAATTAATTCTATACACGACACCTTCCTTCAAGCTCAGGTCCTCTACCAGAGGCCTGGGAGCTTGAGGGTCCTGTGCAGTACCTTAGCTGTTCCTAGCACTGCAATCTTCTGGACAGAGATCTCAGATATTGTTCCTGGGATCTGTTGGAGCAACTCTTCCAGTGTGGGGCCACTAATCCTTGGCCTCCTTCCTTCCACTTAGTGTACAGTCTCAGGATGCTGGAATTGGGGTGAAACCCACCGTGCATTGTAAGGAGCTTCCTTGTCTTGATGTCAGTGGCCTCTCTCTCCTCCAGCTTATTATGCCAGCGGGGTACCTGATGACTGGCAGGGCATAGGTGTTAATCGCCCAGACTTTGTTCTTTCCATTCAGCTGACTTCTCAGGACTTGCCTTACTCTCTGCAGGTACTTGGTGGTTGCTGCTTTCCTTGCAGGCTCTTCATGGTTCCCATTTGCCTGTGGGATCCCAAGGTACTTGTAGCAGTCCTCAACATCTGCTGTGTTGCCTTCTGGTAGTACAATCCCCTTAGTTCTGACTACCCTCCCTCTCCTTGTTACCATTCAACCACACTTATCCAGTCCGAATGACATTCTGATGTCCTGGCTGTAGATCCCAGTGGTGTGGATCAGTGAATCAGTGTCTCGTTCACTCCTGGCATACAGCTTAATGTCATCCACGAGGAGGTGGCTGATGGTTGCTCCATTTCATAGTCGGTATCCGTAACCGCTCTCAGGCCTATGCAGAACAGCAGCGGGGACAGAGCATCTCCTTGGCCTGCTCATCTTAGCTGCTACAGTATGATGCCTGACAGGAGCTTGTGCAGAGGCAGGTTATTGGGCAGTAGCTGGATGGTACTGCTCTCTTCTGAGGGTCCTTCAGGATCAGGACTGTATATACTGTATATATACACACTCTCCACTACATACACAAGAGGGCCAGAATATTAGGAACACGTCTAAATATAATGTAGTCACCTTTAACTATAACCTCAGTGATAAACATAAATTCAATTATATATATTATTTATGACAATTTCACCAAAAACTGAAACATTTTGAGATTCATAAACACAGATATTATGGAGGAATTGTTGCATTGAAGTGAATACAATTGTACAGGTGTACTTAATAAAGTGGCCGACGGGGGTACTTTGTACCACCCCTTTACTTCAGTCTTCCCAAGACTAACCTCTGAGTGCTTTAACATCAGCGGCACATGTACTTTATTCCACAAATTTGAAGCGGCAAGAGGGACTTAAATGAGTGGTCAGACAGGGGTCTCAAAGCCTGCATTTTGGCTGAACTGGGAAACTGTTGTGTCCTGAGTCTTCTTCAACTTCTTCTAACATCCAAATACAAAAGTTGGCAAATTCCTTTCAATTATATTATACAGTATATAAAAAAAGTTGTCTTGAAGTTGTATCAACACAAAGCAACTCTCCTATACTACCAAGTACAACAGAAGCAGAATCTTTGTTTTACAGTAATTAGTGATGGCACATACTGTATGATTCAGTTAAAGATGTCCTATATAGACAATATACTAAAGGATATTTATGGGATGAGCATCTGGACCCACAGACAATCTTACACTATATTACCATGATGATGCTGTTTTCACTGTTGTTATATTGTGAGTAGGTCCCTGTCCATGGTCCTGAATGGCATATACAGCTGTCACTCTCCATGGTGCTGAACTTGAACACTCAATCTGGAGAGCTAGCCGGCACTTGTAAAACCTAACTACTGACTTTTGTGCAGTGTGAAAACTCTTACTACATAGATAATTATTCAGTAGTCAATAATGGCCAATTACACACTTTTGCTTACAGAGATAATAAAATGTAATCAGTGACACATTTGAGGGCAGCTGTGGCTCAGGAGGTAGTGTGGTCATCCCCTAACTGGAAGGTTGGTGGTTCGAATCCTGTTCTGCTCAGTTCCCATGTCAAAGTGTTCTTGGGGAAGACACTGAACCCCAAGTTGCTCCCGACGGCTAGATCAGTGGCTTGCAGGGACAGTGCCACCATTGGTATGTGTGTGTGTGTGTGTGAGTTGGCTGCCTCGGTTCTGTACTGGAGACAAATTCCTTGTGTGTGTAACATACTTGGCCAATAAATGTGATTATCATTATTATCAAATAAAATTACATCTAACAGTCATTAGAGTAAAGCAAATCAATCCCTTAACAAATGAAATGTTGATACAATAGTAGCTGAGTAATTTTTGAGCTACTTGTTATGTGCTTTACTGGGTTTCTGGTCCCTCTTGACATTTTCTAGTGACAGAATTTTTGAGCTACTTGCTATGTGCTTTACTGGGTTTCTGGTCCCTAGTATTGTAGCATGCCGGGGGAGGGCCACGGGCTGCACATGCACACAAACACAAGGCCATACACACATATGGACAGATATATGCCCAGAGGGTGATGACTGGTGCTGTTGCCCACTGTTAGCAGGTGTTCTAGGGGTGAAACTTTGGGTTGACAGGTTATGATTCTAGTTTGTGGGTTCTTTTTTGGGGAAAAGTGAGTGTATATAAGTATGTATTGTTCTGTGTTGTGTTTGAAATAAAAGCAGTAGCTATCCTGAGTCATGTGGTGCATGGGGAACAGAAGCCTACATAACAGGACAGCCTACAGCCTGAATCTAGTGTCATTCCTTGGCAGAATCTCTAGAATCCACCAGCTTTCCACAGTATTTTACCTAATTCCATGCTGACAGTGCTTATAGTGCCTGTAATTAAAGAAAAAAAAATTAAAGTTACTAGTAAGGAAAACTATAGATCTATTGCCTTGGCTGGTGTATTGTCCAGAGTATTTAAATGTGTTATACTGGATAAACCTCAAGATTATTTAAGTACTACTGATTAAGTTTAGCTTTAAACATCAACATGAGACTGAGATGTGCACTTATGCACTTAAAGAGGTTATTAGCACATATAAAGGGAATAATTCTTTGATGCAGGAAACAAATGAATACCAAAAGCATTTGACTGCATCAATCATGGCAAGTTACAGTATTTCTTAATCTGCTTAATCTGGGGCACCTTATATTTGATAAGGATTCTGCACTTTTGGTAGGTAAATCAAACCATGCAAGTCAGATGGAGACGGTGTGTGTCTGCTCCCTATTGGGTGACAAATAGAGTCCGGCAGGG